AATTCTTCAAACAACTGCTAATCCTCTGGAGATCTCCAAGAACCAGTCAACGAACTCTACTTTCTCAGCTTCCAGCCTTAGATGGTTCTCATGTGGTCGGCTGGACTAGACTCACATGAGAAACCCTAGCTCTGATACCAAGTAGTAGTTCAAGATTGTTATCAGTCTTGAACCCTAATTGATTTCAGGTTCGAAAATAAGAAGAAAGGTAAAGAGAAAAGAGGAGGAAGAGGGAGGAGAAGCAGTAGAACACAAGAGTTGAAAAGGAGGAGCAGAAGCTTGATGTTCTGCCGCCACCACTTTAATTAATATTTATAGGGTATGCTCATTATATGGAAAGGACAGATCTGCCCTTAGTCTTTACATAACAAATAGAGCAAAAAATAAGACTGAAATAAATAACARCTGAAACAACTAAATGACCAATAGCTAACCCTAGGAAGACTAGAACACCTTCCACCCTACGAACACAGTGGGACCGTAGCTGTGGGGCCCACATCAGTGTTCTCTACAGTAGGTTGTTTTGGCTTGTTCCCATATCTCATCCATGGTCTCTACCCACATAAAGTTCTACATCAGGTTCCATGGCTGCAAGAAGCCAAGACATCACCATATTGTTCTCCTAATCCCACCTATCATGTTCAGTTATCCCACCTTTAGGTTCTTTCACTCTCCCATTTATGTATCCAGCCTTTCCCCTAGTTGTAACATACAGTTTCACACCTTTAGCCCACTCTAGGGAGTTCAGACCAATTAAAAAGGGTAATTGGCATCGGAAAAATCATATTCTCAACACCCATACTAGCTGTTCCATGGGTTGATGTAACCCCAAATGAAGCTGAACCATTAGTTGCCATAGTAAACAAGTTCTACAAAACAAAAGAACCACTGATGCACAGAGAAATATGCCTCCACCCTATTACTACCACCCACAACCATGAGTAGAAAACACACACCAATCTGCTCTCTAGAATGGAATACCACTGCTGAAAACACCACTAACAGCAACTAACCGGTCCAAACACTCAAACTTCAATAATCACCATTAGGCCACACAAACACACACACACACCAAGAAAGAACAGCACATACCTGTCACAAGGGGGTCACAGTCACACAACCCCTGTAGAGCACCTGTACAAAGGTAGACACATCAAAACACAACCTTCACAGCATCAGCTGTCACCAAAAAGGTTTCCTTGGTGCTACGATCAAGGGAGAACCCAGGAAAAACACAATCTGATTGTTCAAACCAGTCCAATTAGGTTTTTTCTCTTAAAAGTCCAACAAACCAGAAATCTGAGTGAGAAGAGATGTGATTCAGAGAGAAAAAAGTCATGTCGCCCAGAAATATGCTCTGATACCATGTTTTCTTCTAGAAAAGAGAGAAGAGAAGGAGAAAGAAGCGGAGAAGAAGAGAGAGAGACTATTTCGGAGCCAAAAATCTGGGCTGGTGGCACCCGGTTCTCTATTTATAATAATGTAATTAAAACAAAAGGGAAATTTTATATATATGCCCTTGCAGCACACCCTAATAAAAAACAATAAATAAATGCTAGAAACATGTTAACAGCACCCTAGAACTAACAGCAGAAACAACTCTAATAGCAGAAATAACTCAAATAACAACTCTAACAACAGTTATAACATAATAGGCCCATCCTATGTTGTCCACGTTTTGAGCTGAATTGCATATGCAATTGGGCCCAACACATAGGCTGAATAAAGTCATAAAATTGTTATGACATAAACTTCTTTTTGAGAGAAGGTAAAGTATCATTGTATTAAATATGAACTTTATTACTGGGCCCGTCGTGTTACAATGTTAATTAAGTTGAGCTCTCATTTAGTTTTATGTATTTAATTGTTGAACATGCTGAATTGTTGATCTCGCCAAATGGCCACAATTGGCCATGTTAAGACTATATGTGACTCGCCTACGTATCATGAGTGGATGCACATCATCCCCATGATATTTTTAAGATCATTGAATGCTCTCCTTGCTGAATTGATCTTCTTGGATTCCTCCCATGAGGGATCCTCACGTTACAATGTTCCCACCAACCAATTGGGATTAAATTACTAAGTTCCCTCATGAAAATATAAGTGAAAAAATAAGGAATATGTTTTTGAAACTATCTCTAAAGGCCTTCCAGCAATATTGTGGTGGTAAGTTGACATGGTGAGTGGAGATGCACCCYAAAATGGGGCTATCTACTTGATCACCGATGCTCCTATAGCATTGGAGGACTCTCTCACAATACCATGGGGTCTCCAACTAGATGGTATTGCACTTAATATTGGAAAGGTCTAACCTACAAAAATGGAAATGGATATTGTCCAGTGGAGGCTAAAGAGGACACCTATTAGATAGATAGATGATTAGTATCCATCACAGAAAGTGATGGACTTATGCAGCTAAAACAATATTAATTCCTCACATTCTCAAAGATGTGAAAACACCTCCAATTTCTCACATCTGAGAAATTGGACAAGGTTGTCACCCAGGCTGCTCCAAAAGCCCCTGGCAATAGAGATTCTGAGGAACAAAGAAGGAAATACAATGATTGGCAGGATAAGAACTCTCTTGCCAAGTGTTATATTCTTGCTCCCATGGACAACTCCATCCAGAAGCAATATGAGAATGTTGCCACCTACAAAGAAATTCTAAAAGACAAAAGGTCCTCAAGATGTTGATGACCACCTGCATGACTAAGGGCCTGTTCATTTGCTCTGAAGTCTGACATCTGAAAGTGCAATAATTACATTAAGAGGTATATTGGTATTGGTGAACTTTTCTTTCCTCTGAATTCTGAATGCAGAAAATGTTGTTCTGAATCTGAAAACTATCAAATATCTATTTTGACCCCATATATGAAAGATTTTGTTTATCTTTCTGGGGGTATCATTGGAAAACAAAAAGTTGTATAATTGTACTTTAAGAGATAAGAGATAAGAGGAAACAAACAACCAATTTTCTCTTAAAGTTAAAAGAGTCCTCTTAAGAGATAAGAGTTAAGAGGAAACGAACAGGCCCTAAGAGTCAGCTGGTTCATGACCATCTCATGAAGATGTTATAGGTTATATTAATGAACTAGAGCCTCTTGGCAGCAAGTTAGAGGATGACATAAAAACGGATATCATCCTAACTCTCTTTCGCCTTCCTTTTATCAGTTTGTAATAACAACAATATGAACAAGATGACTGCCACCTTGAACAAGCTCCACAATATGTTGTAAAATGTTGAAGCACTGATTAAAAAGGATAAGCATCTTCATCTACTTGCAAAACCAAGGAAGGAAAATGGTAACAATACAAGGAAGCAAAGTAAGAAACCTCAGAAGAAGAACAAAAAATCCAAAAGGAAAAAGAAAGACAAGTCATTAGATGAATGTCACTTTTGCAAACAAATGGGGTATTGGATGAACTATCACTATTAGCTACTCCTTAGTTAAATGGTGTAACTGAAAGGAGAAACCGAACATTATTAGATATGGTAAGGTCTCTCCTTATACACTCCAAGTTACCCACCTCCTTTTGGCAAGAAGCACTTGAAACTTTTGGCAACAAGCAGTGTAAGACACTTAAAAATTTGGGGTTGTTAAGAACATGTTAAAAAGACAAGTACTGACAAACTAGAATCCCGAAGGATTCTATAAGATACTACTTATTCTATGACCCTAGTGAACAAAGGGTGTCGTCAGTCAAAATGCCCACTTTATGGAAGAGGATTATATCCTCAAGGACCTCAACGATCAATCTCAGCAAGTAATAGTTCTTAAAGAGGAGATTACCACCGCAATGGGAGAGTCCCAACAACACTAGATTACTATGATCCCACACTACCTAGAAGCTCTACTTAGGTCTCTAGACCTCCTATCCAATATGGCTATGATCAAGAAACATATTTGATGGAAGTTGAGGATAGTAAACAAGATCCGTCGATTTACACAATTGTTCATATTGCATTCAATTTTCTCTTTCATGAAAAGATGAAACGTATTTAAGTGGACTACCACTTTTTGAGAGAGAAAGTTCATAATGGATGCATACCCACTCCTTACGTAAGTCTAAATCAAGTTAGCTGGAAAAAMGTCTCACATATTCCTCTCTCACCAATTATTTATGGCCAACATTCGTATTAAAGAATCTGGATAGGTAGACATTATTAATAGGGCAAAATGTGTGTGATATGACGAATCTGGACCCAACCAGATACAACCCATTGGAAACCCTACAAATAACCCTTTTCCATTTTCATACCTTTTCTGCTCTTTTGTTGTTATGATATAACATTTAACATCCCAAAATAGCATGCACATACAATGAGGCATAGAATGGCTTCCATCCTTACGAGCTAAATTTTCACTTCTAGTAAGATGGTCCTTTCTTCTACCAAGGATATGAAAATTCTTTTCCATTCATCAGTTAAAGATATGAATATCCTTAAAATTGAATATCCAAAAAGATATGAATATCCTTTAGAAGGATGTTTTCATATTATCTCATTTTAGAAATTTTCTAGATTTCTAGAGATATTGTGCAGTGCAAATACATATTTTAAACAACATGTGCAATACACCACATGGACAATTTAAAAGATTGAAAATTAAATAATAATTCAGGGCAGATCAAGATTACCAATACCAAAAGAAAAAAGACAGGTTCAGCATATAGCCATTACCTTCTAATGCTTCCTCAAGAAAAACCAATGCAACCTGCAACTAATTTGATGCTATAGGACAATGGCAGAGAAGGAGTATCTTTTACCGATGGCATTCAAATTGGTCATCTTCCAACCATGGCCTTCCTTGTACAACTCCACCTGATATATATTAAAGACAATTAACAGTTACTATCTCCAAAGAAATTCTTAGAACATGGGATGTGGAGTAAGACAGACGTACCGTGCATTCAATGTTCTCACCATATTGTGTTCCTCCAATTATATAAATCGAGTCTCCAATTACTGCTGTACCAAAGTAACCCCTAGGTTCATTCATGTTGTCCCCCGTCATCCATGCACCAGTACGGGGATCCAAAACTTCAACATCTCGAACCATTTTGTTCCCATCGTACCCACCAAGTACATATCTGCAGAAATAGTTTCTCATCATAAGCATTGAATATTCTGAGATTGTTCAGATGCCAAATGACTAGAAAATAAATAAATTTCTGTAACTAGACCTGGTGCTGTGTTTTTTTTTTTTTTGGTAATTGGTGATACGCCCAAATCCCCATAGGGGCCGTTTGAGTAGCGCAGCACCACACTTACCCCCCCCCCCCAAAATTTGGTGGTTGCAGGATTCAAATTCCCGTCTCTGCTGGAACAAACCAGCTAACATACCAAGTTACTAACTGAGTCACCCCTCAGTTGGCGACCTGACACTATGTTTTAACTTTTTACCAAATTTTCCAGATTAAAGAATAAAAAGAAAGTTAACAATAAACTGCAAAAGTCATCTATAAATGGAACTGCAGCCTTGGAATGTGTTATCTGACAAATCAAAATGTATGGCAGTCACAATAAACATTTCAGCAGGATCACCAAAAACGTGAAACACATTCAAGTGCAAAGCTACCAACAAAGAAAACAGTGTCACAGATAAGGTAGGGTGCTACACATTAAAAAAGTTAACTTACAGTTTATTGTTCAAAACGGCCACTGAGTGACACCCTCTCCTTGTATTCATGCTAGGAATTCTGGTCCAAGAAGCTTCTCGAGGATCAAATCTTTCAGCTGACCTGTAAAGTTAGCTCAAATCAAATTTGGAAACAAGTCCTTAACTAGATCACAACAGTCGTTACAAAATAGAATTAGAAATCAAAATGAAAACCTTTAGGAGGATAAACAGTTAATAATTCCCCTATTTCTCTCCATTCTTCCTATCCAGCGTGAAATGCTCGAACCATATATGCATGAACCTCAATGTAGTTAATGTAAGAAATGTCCAGTTATCTGCTCCCTCTGCTCTCTCTAACCCCCTCTCAATTTTCTGGTTTTTGTATTTTTCGAAAAGAAAATCAACTTGTACGGTAACTATTATAGAATGCTTCGTTTGAGTCAATGTTTCAAAACACGGAAAGATGACGCGAGGCATTCCACTACCTAGAGGTGTGAAGCGTAGTTCAGAACATAAGAGATGTAAGCCTCCCAAACACAAGGAGGTGTAAGCCTCAGCCTAATAGAATAAAGTTTAACTTCGACAGAAGCTCAATAGGGAATCTAGGACTATCAGGAGTTGGAGGTGTATCTAGGGATGATGCAGGGAAAGTGGTAGCTTTGTTCTCAGGGCCGATTGGAGTAGGGGACTCCGCAAGAGCAGAATTAATAGCTTTACACCAAGG